TTATTTACTGAGCTCGGTACTATTTCTTGTACAAGCAGGATTCTGTTCAGAAAGTCCTTGCCTACACATACGACTTCAAGAGTTTTACCTATTTTGTCTTCCAGCAGGTTAAGCATTTCTGTTTTAACATTTAGTTCTTTGATCTACTTTGATTTTAGTTTAGTCCGTGGTAAGAGATACCAGTTTAGATTCAAACTTCTGCATGTGGTTGGCCAGTTTCCCAGAACCATTTGGTAAAGAGGTTATCTTTTCTTCAGTGTACTATTTTGGCCCAGTTGTCAAACACCAAATAGTTGAATGCGCTTGGGGTTTTTTCTGCATCCTCTATTATGTTCTATTGATCCTCATGTCTCTGTGCCAGTATCATTCTTAGGATAAAAACTGTATAAATTTTTGCTCTAAGAACAATTTAACATTACTATTTTCGCAGGGTAATATGTATTTTATTATTTTATTTAATTTGCAGTGTTAGGTATAGTTTTATTTAATTTATTTATTTATTTATTTATTTATTTTTGGTACCGGGGATCGAGCTCAGGACCTTGTGCTTATGAGGCAGTTGGTGGCACCATTAAGCTAAATCCCAGGCCCTGTATAGTTTTATTTTATTTATTTATGTATTTTTTTTGGTACCAGGGATCGAACTCGGGTCCTTGTGATTTTGAGGCAGGCAGCAGAACCACTGAGCTGAATCCCCAACCCAATAGTTTTATTTTTAATAACTCTTGCCCACTTGTTTTCCAATTTTTTTTTTTTTTTTTTAACCAATGCTGGGAATTGAAGCCAGGGCCTTCACACTAAGCCATATCCTCATCCCTTCTAAAAATTTTAAAATTTGAGGCCGGGCGTGGTGGCACATGCCTGTAATCCCAGCACTCTGGCAGCCGAGGCAGGAGGATTACTGTGAGTTCGATGCCAACCTGGGATGTACAGTGAGTTCAAGGTCAGCCTGAACTGCAAAGCAGTACCCTGTCTTAAACAAAACAAAACAAAATTTAAATTTGAGACAGTCTTATTTAGTCACTAAATAGCTCACAATGAGCTCAAACTTGCTATCCTCTTGCCTCAAACTCCCAGAATTCTGAGATTATAAGTATCTGAGAAAATATCTGGCTGAAATAAGACAATACTTATTTTAGTCTTAATTCATATGAAAACACTGTTTCCTCTTTGCAACTTTTCATTTTAAAAATTTAAGCCGAAATAAAAACTTTTAACTCCAAATTTATATTGATAGCAAAATGTAACTCATTAAATTTATAATATTGAATTTAAAATGTCCTTTGCTTTACAGCATTCCAATTTTTCCAGTGATGATAGGGCTCTCATATTTGATTTTCACTAGTATTGCACATCACAGCCAAATAAAAATTGAATTCTGAGGTACTAGAACAGTGTAAGCAGAAAAAACAAATAAAAACAACCAACAAAATAAAGCAAAAGACTAGGGATGTAGCTCAGTGGTACAGTACTTACCTAGCACCTCGGTTCTAACCTCAGCACTGAAAAAAAAGCAAAACCAGGTGTATTCAATGACACTATCATTCTAATATTTTAGATTAGATATAGATAGATAAAACCCAAAACTTCCAGTATTTGCTTTGCTTTGCCAACAGCCACATCTGTGATTTTGGGGGGAAGGGGGAGGTTGTTCTTTGTTTTTAGAGACAGGGTCTAGCTATGTACTCCGAGATTGTCTTGAATTCACTATGTAGCTCAGGCTGGCCTTGGACTTGTGGAGATCCTCCTGCCTCAGCCTCCCAAGAGCTGGGATTGCAGGCGTGCACCACAATGCCTGGCTGGCAAATCTTATAGGGTCAGTCTTCTGCAGTGCGAAATGTGCAGGGCCAATCAAGGCCAAAGAACATTTTCTGGAAGAAACAGCCATTGTCTTCTTTTTTTTTTTTTAAATCTCCATTTTTTAAAAAATAATAGAAAGGGAAAAAAAGATATAACCTTGCTAGATAGATTTCAACCAATCCTTGTTTAATTATTTTCTTTCTTCTTTTCCTATTTTTGTCTGGTCTCCTTGTATTGTTCAAATTGGTGTCACACTCACAGGCTCAAGGATCCTCTCACTTCAGCCTCCCAATTTTCTGAGAGTCCAAACATACACGGTCACATCCAAAAGTGTCAAGGGGTGCAGACAATTTACCTTGCAGCCAATTATTTCCAAAGTACCATTGATGGTTCACAAGATGTGGCAAGGTTCAAAAAAGGGAGTTTAAGGAAGACAAGAGTAGTAGAGAAGAGGATAGAAGAAACAGGGAAGGTATTAGGTCTGGAGCTAAGAATAAAAACAACTTAATTCTGGAAGAAAACACACATACATAGGATAGCTCACACAGGCAGAGTTGCTGTGGAAGCACATTCCAGGAAAATCTTAAGAGATTACTTTAATAATAAACCATGCATTCTTCAGCAAGCCATCATGGGATTAACTACCCCTTTCCTAGGCTGAGAGCACAGTCCATTTTATTTATTTATTTTTCCTTCTCTCTCACAGACAAGTTTTGTGTAAAGGACAATTGTCATGTGGGGACCATAGTTGTGCAAACATTGCACTGAATTTTCTTCACTTTAATTTTCTAATCATGAATTTTGGTGGTGACAAGAAAAGGCCCTGATATCCGCAGATAAACGTCTGTGTGGGTTTTGGTGTGTCTCCAGATGCAAGGATGTTCATTTTAGATCTCCTGAAAACTGAACAATGTACATGTGACAGGAAACAGCACTGCCCGGGATAAAAAGAGTTAAATTTATTTTCATTCTTTTTTTTTTTACTTAGTGTGAGGAGGACATTGAATTACTGCCAGAAGCAATATCAGCACCCTAGAGATATAAAAATACACTTCAAACCAGAATTTTCTGCTGTCAAGTCTTAGGATTTCTGTGTAAAACAGAAGTGTCCGTTTTAAGCTGTGTGTGTGAGCCCACTGCTTACAAATACACTGTTTTCACCAAAGTCTCTTCTTCAAACTACAGCTCAGAACAGATGAAATCACTTTTTTCCTCTGGCTTTTGAGACAAATCCCTTCCATCTGATAGAGTACAACAAACATAATTTAACATTCTTTAGCAAGAGTTTTTGAATTTTAAAAAATAGGTGTGGGTGGGCACTGCTTTTTCTTCCTGAGGGGTGTGTGTTTGTGTGTGTGTGTGTGTGTGTGTGTGTTGTTTGTTTTATTTTGCTTTGTCTTTTTCTGTGCTAGTGATGGAACCCCAGGGCGTCTTTTGTTTTAGGCAGGAGCTCTACCACTGAGCTACACCCCTACCAGGGTGTACACTTTTGAGTTGAGAAAAATACTGCATATTGAGGTTGAAAGTGATCGATTTCTTTTGCACTGTCAAAGCCCCTATTTGTCTGAAATCAGTTACCCTTTTGGGTAACTATTGTCCTATTTGGCCTTTAAAAGGGAAACCATCTCTCTTGTAGATTTAGAAATAAAGTTAACTATGTCCTCAGTAGTAACAATTAAAATTCTCTGCCTAAAAGTTACACATACTTTCATAGTACTAAAATTTATATGCTTCTTGTCATTCACAAGAAGTCATTTTTTAAAAATAATAACAAATTACCTCAGAGCAATATTGAAAACTGTCAGCACCACTCTCTCAACTCCTGCACGCCCTGGTGAGGGGAGATGAACCCCGAAGCCGGAACAGCAAGGGGCAGGGGACTGTACTCCGCCCAGCCGTCCCTCCTCAGGCCTGGACTGCACACTGGCTGGTCTCAGCCTGACCTACTTGCAGGCGGGGACGCCACTCGCAGCAAGCTACCCCAAATTACACAGCGGGGCTGCAGTCCGGGATAGGCAAGGACCACAAAATACACCCTTGGTGTCCCTTAAGCCCAATTTGAACCCTCAGTTTCCAGCAATAAAAGACATATGCATTGTGTTACTTAGTCAATGAAATCAATAACCCCCTCCCATCCAAATCACCATTTGCCATTTTCATATTCAGCGCATTCTGCCTCATATCAAAAAAATATATATATTTTCAAAAGGAAGACAGACATAGCTTTCAGAAGAACAGTTGCATAATATTTACAAGCACCAGAGCTTCTACGGATGTTTTATGGTTGTTCTTGACTTTTAAGTATGAAGAAAATGTGAATTCCTAGGTTATAAATGTTCACTGAAATATGCTGTGCAGTCCCCTCTGTTGAGTAACATAAATATGTCAGTATTTTAAAAGACTTTATCTCTCACATTTCATTTTTTATGAGGAGGTAGAAAACACATTGGAAATTAGTGCAGGTTAAGTGGTATGTCTACATAGGGATGTAGATACAGTGTAATACGTAAGCCTCCTTCATATCAGATATATACTCAGTGTAGACAGAGGATACCGATTTGAAGATATTTTGTTTATACCGATTTCATAGCGAGAATGTTGTCTGCATATCTGTATATGCAAGATTAAATTTCCCACACAACTGCAGCGTGTTTTTCGTATGCACACAGATTTCCCTCCAATTTCAGTGCATGCACATCTGAGATGAAGGAGACAAGCCCACATTCAATTTTAGGAACAGCCGAGCCCTGGGAGCTGGGACCCACTGCCCTTGAGGAAAGTGAGTCGCAGAGACAGCTCTTTTTGTACTTCGAGGGCCCGGACGGGTTGGGGCGACTTCGCGAGCCACATCACTCAAAGCGGCTATCCAGGGAAGGATCTGTGAAATGCAGCCGGCAGATCCCACCCCTTTCCTCCAGTTTCCCTTTCCTGTCCTCATTTGCACCGGCCCCCGCCCGCCGCCGCCCCACGCCGGTCTGGTGCCGCTGGCGGCGCCCACGCCTGAGCCTGGGCCTCGGCCTCGCGCGGGTCCCTGCGATCGCCCCCAGCTGGCGGGGCGCGGCGGCCGGGTCCCGCGGTCCAGGAAAGAGTTAAGTTTGGGAGACTCGGCAGACACGTTGAGGGGGAGTCTCCGAGCCCGGGCAGCAAAAACATCCCGGCGCATTCCTGGGGAGTCCTCAGCTGCCAGCATCTGATTAGAACCATATCTCTCGCCGGGAGTGGCCGCGGCCCCGAGCTCCGGCCCGCGGCTATTTAAGCGGGGCCACCGCGTCGCTGCGCTGCAGCCCGGAGGCTCGGCGGGGCGGAAAGTCATGCTCGCCTCGCACCCGCGCTAGCAGCTCGTGAGTAGCTTTGCAATCCCTCTTTCCCTTGGCTCCATTTTTTTTTTTTTTTTTTTTTTTTGGTTTTTTCTTTGGCGAGCTCCTTTTCTCCCCCGCACCCCCACCCTTCACCGTGGACTTGGGTGCAGACCTTAGGCTGTGGGGAGTCTTAGAAATGAGGCGGTGCACTTGGGAGAACAGCGGGGTTGTGTCCTGCATCTGTGGGGTGAGTCCGCGGAATGCGTTTACCTTTTTTACCTCGGACTCCTGATGCCCATCTGTCACAGTGTGTGTGTGTGTGTGTGTGTGTGTAAAAGCCCCTTGGGGCAGCCCTGGTAAGGACTGGAGAGTGGCTGCTGGCCGCCTAATTAACTCTTTGAAGTGTTTATTTTTGTCCAATGACAAAGGCTGGGGACCTGGCTTGTGCCTAGGAGGACCCTTTTGCTGGTGACTGACAACATGTGGCATTAAAATGTGAACTTTGTCTTAGACTGGCATTCCTAAGAAAGTACCTGCCCAAGGGACTTAACGAAGTTTTAAATCCCAGAAGTGCTTGCTCGATTGCTGTAGATGGGTTGGAAAGATTAAGAATTTTAGAAAAGGGGGCAAAATGAATGGGTTAAAATCTTGGAGCCCCAGTCAACATAGCGGTTTTCATAGCATAGAGCTGACTGTGTTATTTGTTTCTGCTGTCTTTCCTTTTTAATTCTTAGCCTGGAATTCAGGTCCGAGGTCCGTTTCAGCGGGGAGCTGTTTGAGTCTAGGGGGAAATATAACTGGTTTAAAAACATGTAAAGAGTCTGGATGTTCTCTCCACCCCACTACCCCTCCACCTTTTCTTCTTTCTTTTAACTTGTGTTTGGAAGGAAGTGAGCCCTTCTGTGAAAGGAGAAGAGCAGAAACAAGCTTCCAGACACATGGAAAGACTTAGAAATTATAGAGGGGCGACTTCATGAATAGTAAATGTTGCTATTGCTCTATAAAGTGACTTAATGAAAAAATTTCTAGCCCTAATCAGGCAAAGCAGGAGAATAGAGGAGAAGGAGGTAAGACGTAGCTCATACAGAAGTAATTAATGGCAAAACAAGGCAGCAACAAAAAACGCCTTCAAGAGTTCTGATGGGGCTCCTGGAATGGCTTTGATGGGAAATGGAATTGATCTTTCTACTTTTTATTATTATTATTTTAGACAGGGTTTTCTTATGTAATTCAGGCTGGCCTCGAACTCAAGGCAGTCCTCCTGCCTCAGCCTCCTAAGTGCTGAGATTACAGGTATTCCCTGCCACTCCTGGCTGATCTTTCTTATAATATTGAGGTTAGTTGTCTGCCCCCCAAGCATCTGCTGGTTTCTGGAGAAGGAGGAACTAGTCGAGGGTGGAGCTGAACATCACCTCTACCACCTGTGTGCCCCTCTTCCACTTGATTAGACTGCCTTGCTCTGGGCCAGGTGCCTCACCCACCCCAGCTTCCCTCTCCCCTCAGGGAAAGCAGATAGGCCTGAAGGACACTATAGGCAAATTTATTGCTTCTCGATTTTGGGAGTGTTTGAGATTTGAGCTCTCTCTGAAGAATCTTTTGGGTGGAGTGCAGGGTGTCTGGAAGAAACAGTGCCACTCTTACTGTCGCCTGGAGAGCGCAGTGTGGCGAGTCTCTCAGAGAAGTTGCGAAGGGAGTCTAGTGGCCCTCAGTGTGCATTTCAGTGACACAGACTTCTTCCAAATTCTCCATCGGCTTTTGCCTATCAGTTTCTACTTCAGGCCGCCCGGATTCTTTCCCTTGTGAATAATTTCCTTGGTGAATAATTTTCCTCTTCTCTTCTTACCCTGAGACTTATCCCTTCTTATCCAATGACTGGCCTTGAAACCGATTTAGTAAACTACACCTTCTTACATTTCATTGTATGACCAGGAGTACATGGCAGAGAAATTCTTCCAACTTTGAGTTCTAGCACACGAGCACTTGGTATTCTGGTAACATTTGACACAACACTGGTGATTTTCACCTGAGGATGTAATTGAGAGAAGGAAGGCACAACGATTGTTAAAAACCTTGCCTTTCAATCCCCAATACCAAAAAAAAAAAAAAAACCTTGCTGATTTGTGAAGACCAACACCCATACTTTCATACTATTTCATACTATTCATACGAAATTCTTCCAACTTTGAGTTCTAGCACACGAGCACTTGGTATTCTGGTAACATTTGACACAACACTGGTGATTTTCACCTGAGGATGTAATTG